GATAAACAACAGTAAAGAGAAACTGTTAATTGTAACTGTAATTCTATGAACCTAGTGTAGATCCAGATAAACAGATCAACACAAGTTTAAGTTTAAACATTTCTTTGTTTTTGTTTTTTTTAAGCATTACTATGTGTTTAAACATTAATGCTAAAACTACCTTAAACCCACATCTAAACCGCTTGGTGATTCAGCCGAACCTGAATTAATATTCTGATGACTGAGGTAAAAATAGCCATTTATAAAAAAAAGTTTTTATTTGAATCTAACAGAAAACAATCTCTCAAACGCAGCCTAGTGAAATTTTTAAACCGTCTATTTCTCTTGACATTTAGTCAAAGGAACAAACTGGGGAGTTTCAGAGTTTTATGCAAATGTTTTTTTTTATTAAAGTTTTAATAATACAAATTGAGGATGACTAATGAAGTAGTTTTAAAAAGAGTATAACTATTAAATATGTATTACAAAAATTAAGTACACAAAAATGTGAGTTACAGGCAACAGTCATCCTCTAACTCCACAAAAATTGTTTTACATAAATTGGATTTTAATAATTTAAGTTTTCAGGATTAGTTCCATAGGGCTTAAACAGTGTAGTCTGTCGAATGAACCCCTCAGTGCTTAAATGACTCTTAGATCTTAACTTCTACTTAAAATTAGGGGAGTGGAGCCCTAGTGGTTAGGGCATAGAGCTTGGTATCCAGAAGTTCTGAGTTCGAGCCCCACTCCCATAGACTGCCTCTCTGGGTCTAAAATTCAAATATAAACTCTTTCTCTAGTATGGAACTTGGAAGAGTGTTTTAAAATCAAATAAAAAAAGTGTAAATAACATCCAAGTCAAGGTTAATATTAAATCAGTTTGAAATCATCTGATTATTATTTTATTTTTGTGAACATATTCCACTGCACTTGTCCTTCCACCATAAAGTGCTAGTTCTACTGGTGTCCTAAGGAATGTTAGTTTAAAGGTTAATTTAATAAAAAATGTGACTAACCAAAGGGGACCCATTAAATCCAAATTTGTTAGAATTCATTGCAGAGTTTAAAGCTAAATTAGAAGCAAGAGGCAGCCCAGACTATGGCGTATTTCACCCTCTTCCTCTGTAAAACTATTTTAGTTCTGCTCTAAACCTCATCTTTTTCAAGGCTGAATATATGCGGGAACGAAAGTGCAGGTTGGCAGCATGAATGAAAAAAACTAAACAAAACATAAAAAAACAAACCTCAGGAACAACCTGGCAGAAAAATAGCAAACAGGAATTCAAAACTGAATAGGGAGAAACAAAGCTTGATATGGGCTCCATGCAATACAAGAACTAACAAAGTCAATGATCTGGAAGAGAACAAATCAAAACCTGCAAGTTTATCCACAGAGCAGGATAACAGCTGAAACAGTGCAGGTATGGTATTTAGAAAACAAGAATGAACAGAATCAGAGCAGAAAGAATTACCAGAAAAAAGGAACAGAAGTTAAAACTAAAACCAAAAGTTTGAAAAACCTTAACCTTGTATAAAAATGTAGAAGAGTTTTTCTTGACATTAAAAAGCAAAAATCTACCCTTTTCCGGTACTTTCCTCTTAAAAGTTTCACTTAATATTTGGATATAGAGGCTTTTTTTCCAATATATTTTCATTTAGCTTCTATAACAAATTGTAATATAGACAGATTATATAAAAATATAGTGCAATAAAGTCACTAAGAAAATAAAATAGTGAACAAATAATCAAAAGAAAACAGAACAAGATTGATTATAATTTATCAAGTAATCAGATAATGAAATTTGAAAATTTCATTTAACTATTTAAGTTTATTATTTCAAGAAGTAAAAATATATAACATCAAACACCCAGCGCCTCACCAAGCTAAATGCTACAGTATATCAAAAAGCTTCCAATTTACATCAGGAGTCCTTTTTTAAATTAATGGTTTGCTGGATATGTATTAAATGCTTGCTATGTCTGTTTAAATATGCTTAAAAAAATCTGATCTTTTTTCAGACAATGGCACATAACATTTGTCCGCACAGAGCTAGAATCAAAACTAAATATTAACTCAGTGTTACATTGAAAAGTGAATATGTTTGATTAATATAATGAATACAGTCTGCTAAGAGAGTAAAACAGCAACTCTCCAATAATCTTGCACTGCAAACTGGATTGTGGTGAGATCTGAGTTTTCAGTCTCACAACAAATCCATCTTGAAAGACTCCCGCTAATACGTCTGTCTCGAAAAATTCAGCGGGTCAGACCAGTGACATGCCAGCAGTTTTTTTTGGACATGTAGGAATGACAACAGTGAGAACTTCCTTGACGGGGCATTACAAACATGGCTATGCTAGAGGACTCACCTGTTAATACTGCAATTGACTAGATTTTAGCTAAAATAGTGACAATTTTTCATTTAAAAAGAAGCAAAGACAAGAACTTAGATGGGAAAGATGTCTGGGCTTTTCTTTGGTTAGGATTTGGAAAAAGTTAAATTTTTTTAGCTTATGAAACATCATGATTTGCTGCTACAATTGGCTGAAAGTGTATTATGGAAGGTGGGTACTAGCTGGTATGTCACCCAATCAGCTGAAACTATTGTATTAAACGTCCCTCCTTTTCAAGACAGATTGAATGGCAGCCATTCCAGATTGATAACGTAGAACTTAACCCAGTTCTACACATATCAATCTGGCTACTGCCAGGTTAGCTCTCTAAGCGAAGAGTAACACAAAGAAGTTGGCACAGGGAAAAAAAGCTGTCACTTCTGTTTATAACGAACAGTTTGATCATTTGATCCTCATCTGTCCCTTCATGAGAATGTTGAAAAAAGTGGCATTTCAAATGAAAGACAAATTGTTTTTCATGCCTAACTTGCCATTTAAAAAAGTGATTAAAGATGACACATCAAAATGGGGTGGCAGCAGAGATTACAGTACATTTATACCTTTAAAGTAATAGGAGTTTTTTAAAGAACCAAGGCCCTGACTGAATGTGGAAGAGAAATGCAAAATTAAGCCATGGGGACAGACAGGATTCTACAAATATATTCCAAACTGTATACAAAAAAAAAAAACACTAGTTAAAAATGTTTTGTTAAAATTGTTAATTTGGATTCAGAAATGAGCTGATAGAGAACCTGGAAAAGAAACCTGATTTGAAGGCATGTTAAAGTATAATTTGAAAGAGGAACCATAAGGTCATAAATATTTTGTGGGGGAAAAAAATGATCCAAGGGTTTAATAAACAAGGAAATTGAGCTTTACATCAAATAAATAAGAAGTGAAAAAGAAATGGAAAAGCAAATAACTGAGGAACTATAAGCCCAAATTACATGTGTGATACGTTATTTTAAAGATGGAGCCTAGGCTAAAGTTAAACTGAAAAAAACTAATTGCTTTCCTACATCCACCTGTGACACAGCCAATCCGCTTTGAACCACACCTCCACGAAAGCCAATCAGCATCCAAAGTTCATTTTAACAGGCCTCCGATACGCACTTGTTTGCTCCTGTGCGCAGGCGGTGGATGCGCTGTGACTTCATTCAGATGACACAGTTTCAACCCACCTCCAGCCCTTCCTCCCCCATCGTAGCTAAAGCTTCATGAGAGTGTCATTCCTCCCGGACTATTACTGCTTTTCCTGTGTCAGCTCATCCAGTCCTGCAGAAGACCGCCATGTTGAGCCTGGTTCTGCCAGAGGTTACTTCCCAACGGGGAGTTTTTCCTCTCCACTGTCGCTCCATGCTTGCTCATCATGCACAGGTTATCTCAACCTGTGTTATCTAACTGGACTTCCGTCTTCCAGGTCCCTGAGTGAAGCTCTAGTATCAGCTCACGCAATCCACTGGATCTTTCCATACAGCTCAAGCACACCGTCTCACCAACCAGCAGTCTACAGACTGACCAACTTCATCTATCTTCACTCCACCACCAGTTTCAATCTATTTATTTTTGCATTATGCAGTTATTCATAGATTGTCTAGAAAAACAGAAAACATCCTCTTGTCCCTGTAACATGCTAAAGCAGAACCAGAACCCTGCAAAAAACAATGGCAATATATTATTTTGAATAGATATTACAGATGGCATAAGTTATTCTAACTGGCTAAACTGTGCTCTGGAATAGGCATCACCATTAACCTGACCTCTTACAAAGGCAAGGCACTCTTTCAGATTGTTCTGACCACTGCCTACTGACGATAATATGTTAATTGATAACCATGTCATAAAATGCATTTAAAATTATCAAAACTTTTTCCGTTACTTAAATGTAAAGGTGTTTAAGGATGCCTACATGCATCTTAGGGTCAGTGAAGCACTGCTCTGATACAAGAACATGCCCCATGTCCATAATATATATGAATGCAGTGAGAATTTCACTGTAGTCAAAGATATACACTTTTCACAACAGCCTCATAGGTGTTGATGCCGTCTGCATATCAAATAATCTATGGCTGCCAGGCTTCAATGGTGATCTAATCATGCATGCTACAAATGTCAAATGCATAGGGAGTCAATTGTATCATGTTTTTTTTCTATGCAATCATGTGTTCCAACACCAATGAAATGAAAGGCAAATATGGAGTATATTAGACACTATAATACTTTATCCAACCTTTCTGTCTGAACTCAGGAGCATCTTTTCCACTATACTGAAAATAATACAGTAAAGAGGAAGAAAAACAATGTCCGCAAAGGCATTTCCCAAAGTTAAATCTTACAGGATTATACAAGTACTGCGACTGCAGCCATTGTATTGGTCATCTGCTCCGTCAGCAGAATGCATATGAGGTTTTAAAAGACATAAAACCTCATGAGCCAAAGCTTTCAGCTAAATAGAGGCAAAGAAACACCACAGACCAGCTGTAAGAAATATTCATTTATTTCTTCACCATCCTCGTGTCCAGAAGCCACTTAGCGGAAGCATACTGAGGAGAGTTTTAATGTCATCATGTATCACTTTTTGCTATTTCAAACTGTTTTCTTACCATTATTTAGGGCCACAAGCATACCTCCCACAGCTTAAAGACAAGCAGACGTGACACGGCCCGGCTGTGTTGCCAAAACGATGTGCATGTTTCTTTGCTCGCAGTATGCTACTCACCAGGGTGCAGCTGCTATCTCCATCATCATCCAGCAGGCCAATTCTGCACAGAGTCTTTTCATTGTTCAGCCAGTACTCAGATGAGTCCAGGATGCTGTTGATGCACAGAACCTGCAGCAGGTAAACAAGCATCAGCATCGAAGAAACACAACAGAGACATGGATGGTAAAGGATGAACTTTCATTCATTTTTTCCATTTAATCTGGAAGTTTTTGTGTTCCCTCTTTTTAAGGTAAATGTCATCAGGTTCAGTATGTTTTAAATATCTACAATATATGGCTCATTAAATCAACAACGTATCAGTATACGTAGGACAATTTTATGCTTGACCAGCCCTGATTGCTCAGTCGTAAATTAAAAGCTGGATCTTTTTCTAATCAGTGAAGGCGCCATAGTAAGAGCTGACAGATGGCACCGATAACAACCATCTCTTTGATGAGAAAGTTGTTTCTGAGTGAAGACTCAGTTAGCTATTTTCTATATCAGCGAGGTGCATAAAATGATTTGAAAAGAAGCACAAATAGAGTGAGAAGTCTCTAAGGAAGAAGTATGTCTAATCTTCATACAGGTTAGAAAAATGGGGAATTAAACGACAGGGAAAAAGAGGTTACACTTTAAAATAACCATCATAAACATAATTTATAAATGGTAGAGAGGCCATTTATAAATGATTAACAGATCTTTCATTAATGTTTTATACATATATAAACTGTTTCTTAGCCTTTAATAAAAGGTAAATACATTCATTATAAATCCCACTGATGTTATGCTAAGGGTAAGTGACACACGACATGGCAAGTTAAAACAAAAATAAAGGCCAGGTTCAGGTATTAAGTCCACGGATGTTAGGATTAGGGAGCGACTAAAATGGCAGGGCAATATGATCTATTTACCTGTTATAAATGGTTTAGATGCAGCATATAAATGATTATTAAACATTATTAAACTATCTGTTAATTAGGGTGAAAATATTTTGATTTCCAAAAAGGAGGAGACTTTACCCAGCCTCGAGACAACTTCAGACAGGCTTCTCAGAGGTTAATGAACATGCTGTATTTCACCTAAATGGTAGATTGAAATACATAAATAAAATAAAATAATGTACTAAATATGACCTCGTCTGTATTGGAAAATACAGCTTCAAGAAATGTCCTTGTTACAGGAGCAACTCTCAATTTGCACAGTTTTTTAAATGTTTTTCAGTGTCCATGTGAGCTTTGAGATCTCCAGCACCTTTATTAGACACTGAAACATGTGTGCCAGGTTTTCACACAGTGCACTGAGCCTCTCACCAGGTCGGTGCATGCAAAACAGTTTTTTGCAGTTCATCTGTGAAGCTGCACTTTGGTTTTAGTGTTTTGTGTCCAATGCTGGTTGCTCTGCTCCCTATCTGTGTGTGGGTGTGTCGCTAGACCCTCCCACAAGGCAGTCCCTCGAGAATTACCTCAGGCAACAAAGTATCATAATATTCTGTGCAAAGCACAAGTTAATTTAAGCAAATGATTATGGTCCCATAAAAAACAGCGAAAACCACACATTTTCATAGACTGAAAAAAGTGGACCTGTCTGGGCAAAAGAGGACGTTTAGTTACCCTACTGTTAATAAATTGGCTTTTTACAATTTATAAATTATGGTTATGATGGTTATTGTAAAGTGTTACTGGGGAAGATGAAGTATGACAGAAAAGCTGCTAAGGTCTGTTTTTTAAAGAGTCTAATGCCATATGTGGGCACGCTGTATCAGGATTAGCTGGCAGTCTTTGGTTCATAACAGTTATATCAGCAGTCTATACACCTTGGATAATGTAGAGATAATCGACTACAGTTAATAATGTTAATTGTACCGTTCGCAAATAGAAGAGGCTAAAGTAGGTAATGTTTGTTAGTGAGACCCTGTAAGACTGCAGAGCGTGTAACAAAGACTGCCTTCTGTCCCACACTGGCTTCCAAAGGATCCCTTACACTTAAACTACTTAAACATAATGTAAAAGCATTTCTTTCAAAACATTACATTTTCCACTGCTATTTATACATTTTTCTCAAATAATCTAGCCATAGAAAAGGTTGAAAATATTGCGATGTGCTGTACATTACATTTTCAGGAAAGTCTTTATATTTAAAAGAAAGTCATATGTGTTGTTATTATTTGCAGCTGGGTTTTATTTATAGAGATCAAATTCCCATAAGCAGAAGGATTTTAATGTACCTCTAAAATTTTAGCAACTCAAAGAGAGACAGTTCTATTACATGCAAACTATTTTGGATAAAAATGTGCTTTTCTTTGCAATGACATTTTATATATATTATGTGAGTTACATTTTTAAATGTATCAGGTTGGTTAGACAGTATTTAGTTAATATCCTTAATTTGTAAAGATGGTTAGCTAAAATTTGTTTTTGGAATTAAGTTTCGACATCATCAGTATCTAATTTGCAGTATCAGAACAATGAATTTGTCAGAAAATAGCAAGTGAACAGTAGTGACAGAAAAATACTAATGAAACCTGCGAGCAGACAGCTGTTCTATTATTTCTCACATATTATGCATGTGTCAGGCTGTCAGCCTAGCAGATTCTTTACTATACTTAAGCTAAATTATCTTTCCTTATTATGACAATGCAATTTTATTTTATTCTTAGAAAGAATGAGTTCGTCCTTAGAAACTACTTTTTCACATCATATATTACAAAAGTACAGAACAGCAGGTAAAATCACACTTAAAATATGAAACAAGTGCAATTACTTTGACATATGACACCTACATTTGCATGGCTCATGCTCCATGCATATTTTTAGTGACACGTCATGCCCCCTCATGTTTGCCCCCACTGCAATAGACCTTCTGTTCAGGCCTTCAGCCAGGTAATCGTGACGTATTTGCTTAGCTTATCTCTCTGGAACGGATAACATTTAAGACTGTTGGTGCCAAAGCCAATTAGATCAAGAACATTGCTTTGTGTCTCTACATCACCATCGAGTGGAACACAGAGAGGATCAAGAGCAGGGGGCTAATTAGGAAGGAACACTAGTCCTGCTCAGTATAGGGTCAATCACATTAGAAGTACACCTACAAACTACTTGAAAGGGAATATGATCCAGCAGCATCTCAGCTCACTGATCTGAGCCATTTCTCCTTCTCTATCCCGCTCTTTCACTGGAAGATGATAAATTTCCCGGCGAGAGGTGAGGACCTGACTGTTACTCTTATTACACAACCTTAGGGTGTCACTGGCACCCAGGGGGAGGAAATTAATATTTCTTGCACAGCTGGAAGCACACAAACAAAAGTCAATGGAAAGACAAATTCCACCCAGAGGTGAGAAAACAAAGATGTTGATGAGCACACAGACAGAGACTTGGACTTGTTCTGATCCAAGTGCATGAGACAGATTTCTCTGTTCTCACCTTCTTGCAGGCGCTGATGGATGAAGCAATGGTGCTCTCCGTGCTGCCTCCCTCCACCTCAACAGGCTCGAAACCTTCAAACATGGCGCACGACTGGAAGTTACTGCAGAGCAAAATACAAAAGGGCACAGAATCGACTTTGTCAGAGCAAGTTTCAATCAAGCGGTCAAAAATTGTGCTTTGAAAATCTTGAGTCAGTAAGGCATGACAGTCCCCAGTCTGACTGGAGCACCACATCATGTTACATTTGCTCATATTCAGAAGCTACAGCCTTTACCCATAAAATAAGTAAGCAGCTATTAAATCATAATAATTAATGTAATGTTTCATGCTGACAATACACCAAATTTCACTCATCATTACAGAGTAGGAATCAAAAATGACTAGTTACTCACAATAGTTAGACAAATAGAATCGAATAAAATAGAATAGAATAAAAGAGACCAGAATAGACCATGTATTGTAAGTATTCCTATAACATTTTCATGGATAAAGACATACAAAATATACATCCATAATATATATGGCTGATTGGATGGATACCAACCATGATCCTAAATCTGATTTTGTATGTTTAGTTCATATATTGTCTACATTTAGTTGATTACAGTGCCCCCACAAGTTAAAAATTGTGGAGATGCTATGATAAAAAGAGAAGAAAGACTAAGTCGGAAAATATTGATCAACCTAATCAGCACCCCATTGTACTACGCTAGCAGCAATATTGGAATTAAATGTTTTAATGGTCTGGATAAACTATAGTTTTTTGGTGGGTGTTCTTATTTTCCAGGGTTGACAGGATTTCCAACTGATAAAAGAAAAAATGAACACCAGACAGCACAGCTTTGGAGGGAGCTAAATATAACTAATTAAGATAATTGTTATATGTTAGCAATCATGCATTTTGATAACAAATTTTGCATACATTTTCAATAAAATTTAACATTTACTTTTTGTCCTGGTCTCCAGCGCAGAGGGTTAGGGCAGATTTAAGTGCCTTAATTGGATAAGTTGCATTCAATGTTGAACGATGTCGAGTCAAAATAAAAATCCTGTTGGTCAATTATTACTTAAAATAAAACTGAGGTATATCTGTCAAATTATAACTTAAGTTACTCCAAATATATGTTACTATATAGACATAATGCAGTGGCCTTATATAATAATATTGTACTATTGTAGACATTTAAAGACACCTTACAATATAATGAATTACTTATTTTCTCAGTCATGCTCTGGGTTAGAAGCTTTGTCGACATCCTAGACTTATGATCCCTCCAGGCCACAAGAATAACACCATTAGGAACACAATAAGAGCAAACTGCATTAACAGAGACATTCAACAAAAGTAACAAGTAAGAAAAGTTTTTACAGAAATGCAATGGCCTTTTGTTCTCTGATTTTTGATTAATTTTAACAAGTCAAGACAAACAGTTGGGCAAAAATATCTAAATAATTTAGGTGGAGATGATCTGACGCAGGACTCAAAATGATTTTACTAGATATTGTGTAAAAGAGTGACACACACACATACTGTATATATATATAAACTTTTCATAGGAGCAAATTCATTATGAAAACTGGTCAGAATCCAAAATCTATTTATATTAATGTGTGCTAGTCCAAGTGTCATTGGTTGAATTGAAACAATTTGTTTGTCAGTGAATGAGTGAATGGATCCAACTAAGACGGTCATCTAAAACTCAACATTATATATGAAGATGTGTGGCTGAGAATATCCTTGTGCTTGAAACCAAAACCGACTGGAAACTCAAAGGAAGGCGTGATTATCCTCTGTGCATGCTTTCACTCAGATAAGTCAAAAACAGCGCTTATCTGCAAGGGCATTAATGAGGATCAGTTTAGAAAATGAAGAGACTGGGCATGCATACATAAACAGGAACATCTGGGGGTTTTGCTGCTGCTTTTTTAATTAATAATATTAATTTTTTTTTACATAATCGACATTTTTCAAAGAAAACCTCCCAGTGGAAGCCTCCAGGGTACACATAACTGTATGTGCTTGCGGTTCATCAGCGTGGATGATGATGTATAGGTGAACCAAAGCAAATTATACACACACACACACACACACACACATATATATATACATACATATATATATATATATATATATAAGAGCATGTTGATGCGTCTTACAGCCTGCTGTTTCTGCAAAAGACGCATCAAAACAGCCATCTAAACAGCGGGTGATGACGCTCGCAGAAACCTACAGTAGAAGATGCTGTCCACTGGAAAAAAAAATCATACAATGAATATGGCTCATAAGTACGTATTTTTATTTTTATTTTTTTACAGAGAACAGAAGATCAGTGGAGGGTATTAGTCACGCTCGACCTCCTCTCCAGCCTTTGCGCTTTAAAATCCACCTATCACGACACGCAGATGAGTGACAGCCAGGAGCGCGCTTCCACTCCATGGGCCCCAGTCATTCAGTCAGAGGACACAATTAACTCCTGACACGTCCTTTTCTGAAGGCCTACGTGTGTGTTTGTTTGTTTTAAATTATTATTATTCATCGTGCCATTCATAAGGAAATAGAAACCCAGATGCTGAAGCATCCAAAAATGAGAACTTTTGGTGCCGGACCAAGTATTTTGTAATTATGAAGATTATTATTTGGGGTTTAATTCGTATTTTTAGAGAAAACGTGACAGTTCTCTCAGTTCACAACCGAGTCACTTTGCACAACGACAGGTAACTCTTAAAAAGCACTAAAGCTAAGCTTCATGAAACGCAACCACTTCCCGAAAACACCTTACTGCAAAGTCTTTATTTAACGCTATGTAGATAAAAACTAAAAGCTGTTCCAAAAAACATCTAAATAGTCCGATATCAAAAATGCCACAGCATCAAAATTAAATAAAAACAGCAAAGTAGTGCCACAGACGCACTTAGTGTACGATTAAAGGAAGTTCATTATTTTACTCGGGATGATCAAATACTAATTTAATATTACGGGATTCAAAAAATAGTGTCTTACCTTGGCGTTTTTAAAAGGCACTTTGTGCCTGCCATTTTCTCCAAAATATACCGCAAACACCCTCAACCGCTATTCTAACTTCCCTTCCAGAGGCTGAAAGACACGGTGAAGCTTCTCTCCGCTCCAGATGTGCATCCTCTGGCGCAGCACCGAAGGAATGCCAGACTGATCCAGAGCAACTCACTGGCCGTCCTGCGCGTCTGTCCGCTGAGTGAAGCAGCAGCTGCAGCTCCGCAGCGATAAAACCCAAATGAGCGGCACGACGCAGACATGGGCAAGGGCGCGCGCCAGAGGAAACCTGCGCATGTCTACAAACAGGAGGCACTGATGGGATACGCTTAGTCCCCAAATACTACACGTGGTGATTAATAACATACATTTCATAACAGTTGTGTTTCACCATATAAGCCTATTTTTTTATTTACTTGTCAAGTGTCAATTTTTGACTGGAAGCAGCTGAGTTTCTGCTTGCTCAAGCCTGACTAGAAGCTAAATAGTATTTATTTTTTCCAACAAATTAATGCCAATTACTGAGGACTGCAATCTGCATTACCACAGCATTTTGGGTATAGACCATAAACAAGGTAAATACTCACAATTAGACTATTTCTTATATGATTAAGGTGTTGAAAACAGTAAATAGCAGCTATAAGAAGACAAGCAGAATCAAAGAATTATTTTTGTCATGTTGGGTCGTGGTAAACATTAATTAAGGCTTAATTAAAGAGTGAGACTATTGAGATAAAACAAAAACGGTCAGCAAAGTACAGCAGTGTTCTGTTTTGTTTTGATTTTAACATCTCTAAATGCTGGAGTTGGCAGTTTTTTTGGAAATCTTGTGAAGCTAAAGATCTTTTACTTGTGCTAACTGAAAATTTACCATGTCAACTATTTCATCATTTATTTAATAGCCACCTCACTTTAGGTTTCAAAGTGAGTTCTCAAATGTTAAAGGCATTTGGCAAAAAATATGAAGATTATTATTTTTATAAATAATCGGAGAATATAAGTACAGTAGAAATTAAACGAGGGAAAACCTTCAGGCCACAAATTTGGAGAATAACAGGAGGACCTTTTTCGGAATTAATGCACATTGGAAGCTTTTATACCTGACTGGGGGCTGTAGTGGAAACAAGGGTTGATTAAGAGGATGCTGTGGTTATTGGAAAAGGAGGCAAGTGTATAGAGCTGAGGAAAAACTATTGAGAATCACTGATGAGCAAAGGGGCCTAAATCAAGAACTAAATAGTATCAGATTAACCAAGACAAGTTTAGAGAAATACATTTGAAAGAATGTTCAGAAGCACAAAACGCACAAAAAAACGAAAGACCAAAATAATGAAAACAACCCAAAGTCCCTGAGCTTAATTTTCACTGACTCTGGATGTAGTTCTAAATACAGAAAAGTGTATGTTTTATTGTTATTAGTATACCTTTTCATATTATAAATCATAAAGAGTCATTATAAAGGTTTAATATGTATGATCCTGCAATTACAGCAAACAATTTAACTATTAAGTATTCGGAAGTATTTAAATAATTTATACTCATTTGTGATGTAAAAGCATCTCTTTAAGTCAGGAATGGGCGACTCCAGTCATCAAGGACCAGTATCCTGCAGCTCTAATGTCCTTGGTCCGGCACCAAATGGCTTAATTATGTGCATAGTATGCAGATTCTCTACAGTCCTGCTAATTATCTAATTATTTTTATAGGTGTGTTGTAGCAGGGACACATCCAAAGTATCAGGACCATAGCCCTCAAGGCCTGGAGTTCCCTGCTATAAATGATACCCCATTGGCTTATATATTTTTTAGGAGATGCTTCTCTGGTTTCTTTCCAGGTGAGAAACTTCTTGGTTGAAAAAAGGAAAATTTAAAGATAACTTTGACAAGTTTAAGTAATTCTTGCCGTAACATTAATTGCCCCTGTTTGTGGATGATTATAATGCGGAATCTCCAGAATTAATTTCTTAAATATAAAAGCCTACTGTGTGTGGACAATTTTTGCATAAAAATAGCAAGAATTATTTATAGCCAAAAGGTAAAGTTCGTCAATGACTAGATAGATGGTCTTATATAAAGGAACTACTCCACCTAATCAAATTCTTATGATTTTTTTTTAATTATTGTATAGCCTATTTGTGCAAAAAACAAATATACAATATATAGCATTATTTTCAGGGAAAATAATGCAAAGGTTTGGAACAAGACACCAACCTAGATTATCCCATTAAACTTTTCTCACACCAGATTCCTTATTTCATAGAGCCATGCTAATTGTTTGATGAAGGCAATCTCTATATTTTTTAGAATCCACTCTCCCTATGAGAGGTGCCACCAAATATAAGGCATGGCTGTTATCTTGTACTAAGAATAATATAAAGGGGGGAGAAAGAATAAAACTGGGAGATTTTAAAAACAGCATAGCGAAAGCAGAGGCTTTGATGAGGAAGTTGGAGAAGAGAAACGTTTTACTTTACAGTTCCCTGTGGTGGCTAAAGTGCTTTTCCCTACAAGTGCAAAGAAAGCATTCCATACCAGATACCAGGAAATTTCAGGTTCAACGAAAATACTTCTCTTACTGTGCTCTTATGCTATAACGGTATTTATATGTCTCTGGTTTGCTTTCACCTTCCCCCTTCCTTCCCATGCATCCATTCATCAGTGAGTCATTTCTCACAGATCATAAAGGGTTTTTCCCACCCAGCATCAACTACAGTCAATAGAAAATAGATCTATTGTAAAATGTGAATAAAGATATGCATAAGCATGGCCTTGTTATAAATTTTTTCACAACAGTAGTTGTCCCTTTCTGCAATAGCCAAAAAATATGTTGTAAACTGTTTGATAAATGGTGAAGAAGGTCCATCTGTACTGCTTCAAAAAGCAATGCCACATCATAGTGGTGCCACCTTCGTCTTCTTTTAAGGAATAAGGTTTTTTGTGGGGCAGGGTTCACATATTCAATACACAAGCCAGTAAAGCTACAAGTTACTAATAATTGTCAAAGTCTTTGAGAATAAACCAAATATAATTTACTATGGAATAATACCATTGACAAAATAAAAGACCACAGACTACAAGTAATAGTATTTTCCTGTTTTAAGCAGGTAACTTATGCTTGTCAGCTGGACTAAAGCCGGGTGTTTGTTTGTTTTTTGCTTGACAGATGCTAAATATACTCACTGCAGATCACTGGCTATGCTTTCAAAGTGGAAAATTATGTACAATACTCTAGGTATGCACAGTGAAATACAACTCGCCAGCTTATGTTTAAAGAGATCTACATCATGTGAAGTTATTTACTCTGAAAAGGTCTGAAAAACTGTTTACTGTTATGTGAATTTAGCATCTGAATTACCCAAATCGTATTTATCTATTTTAATTCATGTGCAGTTCCCTAACTGAAAGCTATGATTTTCTACTACTTTTTAATTACTACTTTTTAGCTTTGTTCTCTAGGAAAAAACATAAACCAAAACAGCACCACAACACCATTCCTCCTGTGTTTTGGTGTTTTGGATGTGTGCATGAATGACCTTAAATTTTGACCCACATAGTCATTGCTACAATCCCTGTATCACCTGTGCTGTCTAAATATAGACACGGGATCAACAGCATGGATACCAGCACACTGCAAAACCAGACATATTTGTTGATGAGGATGTTGAAATGATTGAACAGCTTATTTTTTGTGTTGTTTTTTTGTCTGCTGTTTTTTTTAAATTATTATTCACAAAGCAATTTGAATATCTTATAATTCTGGGAATTTTTTATGGTGTAACATTAGAAAAAGACAATTAATTCTTATTAATCAATATCTATGTTCAATTTCTCTATAAAAAACTGCATAATTCATCGTACCCTGACAGAACCCACTCACCCATTGGGAGAATATGCAATCTCCATGCAAAAAGTCTCCAAGCTGTGTTTTAACCTAGGACCTTTTGCTTTAAGGGAAGATTTATACAGACTATTCCACCATGAAGTCCATTAATAAAATATATCTTTGGAAACATAGCTGTTTATTTCAAAACAAGTTTTTCTTTACACCAGTTTCAATTGTCATGGTGATGGTCTCAGTCAAGCAAACTTTTAAATAGTTTCTTCTGGGGGAAAAAATAATCTGTGTTCCTGTGAAATACATTGTTTTGAATTCAGATATGACACAAATGGTCTCTAACCTCACTCCAAAAAAATTTAATTACTGGTCAAAATAAGATTCTACGAAATGAAATGTCCTACGATCAGAAGGTCAAAGGATTGATGCAAGCTACATTAAATTGTCCCATCTGAACTCACCGTTTAACCCCCTTTATGTATATATATATATATATATATATATATATATATATATATATATATATATATATATATATATATTATTTTGAGAAACACAATCGTATGTCAAAGCAAGTGAAAAGTATTAAAATTTAGAGTACAAGTATATACCTACAGCATATGGATAAAGACAAACCCTTGAAAGCACTTTTTACATTCCCTGTGAAGCTGGAAGAGTGTCATGCCAGGATAACATAATTACATTGTCTCACTATAGGTGTGCTCTTTTGAGAGACTTTCTTTCAAGAACCCTCTTGAGGGTATTGTGAATTGCTATGAGAATAATCTCTTGACGTTCATGTGTCATTTCTACATTTTATCATGTGTCTGTTCTCTCTGCAATGAAAGGTTTTTTACCTATCTCGGAGCATGGCCACTGGGAGCGAGTAAGAACACTTATCTTAAGAAGTGCCTGGACAATGCATCAAAAGAAACCACTGAAAGCTTGTTTGAATCTCATTAAAATGTTTTTTGGCTGCTTAAAAATCATAGTCAAAAAAGGCTATTGCAGTAGGTACAAATGAAAGTGGCTTTAAGGCCTAGTAAGCAATGTTGACTGATGTTGGTTGTTACAGATGTGATCAACTAAGACAATATGGCACCTAGCCAAAACAGCCAAACCCCTTACCCTCTAGTTAGGCATTGACTTCTCATAAGCTATAACTACAGCTCCAAGCATGACTGCATGAACATATCGTCTGCAGGGTTCCTTATTGTCTCCTGGTCAAGTCATACCAATCAAGAGCCAGAGCCAGCAGGGAAGATCTTAGGATAAATGGAGACGTAAAATTCCTTTTCCTTTCTATAGTCAACTGAATTTCAGTGTATCTAAATGTTAAGGCCAAGCAATCCGACTAGCAACTGCCT